AATATTGTTTAATGTTATAATGAATAAAATCTGTAATAAAATTAGAGAAAAATGGAAAAAGAAACAGGTTTAAAAGCTTTTATGCATGTAGATAATATTATGGTATGGGGTAAAGATGTGAGGGAACTTGAGTCAGGGGATAGTAGTTATGTTAAAACTCTTGAGAAATGGATGAAAAAGCTCATTACTAAAAAATGTGTTGAAGAGGACAAAGAAGTAGATTGATTTGACTACTTTGGAAGTGTGGTGAAGAAATATGCAAGATAATGTAGATTGATTTGACTAAGTGTGGTGAAGAAATATGCAAGATAAAAAAATTTAGGAATTGGGAACGGCTCAGAATATTGTCATTTAGCTAAAGCTTCTTTGTGGAATAGATATAGGCAGAAGATATAAAATTATAATACTTGGGCATTTAGCTCAAAAACATACTATTATATGGGACAGAGACTTAAACATGTACTAAGAGACAGGAGTTGAGATGAAATTCCTGAGGGTAATAGTGGGAGAAACCAGGAAAGATAGAGTTAGAAACACAAATATTGTGGGAGAGGTCAAGATGGAGGAAGTACAGAACCAAACTGAGAGAAGTAGATCCAGATGGTTTGGTCATGTTAAAAGATTTAGGAAGACCCAGAGAGAGAAAATGTGCACAATGGATAGAACAATTTATAAGAGATGTTGAGATAAAAAAATAACACTGGAGGAGGGTAGATGAGTGTAAGAATGGGCAGATGGAGGCAGTCGGAGACTCCTGCGTAAAAGCCAGCCCACAAGTATGGAAACTACATGAGGAAGAAGAAGATCACTTTGTCAGAAACAAATTACAAGAATCTTCAGTGCGTAGGTATCCTTTGGTTAATTCTGCTCTATTTCTGGCTAATTTAAAGTAACACTAATTTTTTACATAAAACACAATTCTACTTAGGGCTCATCAAGTTTCATTGCAACATTTATGAACATTGCATAACTTGAAAGAGAAGATTGCAGTTTAACAGCTGATTGTTCATTATATTTGTTTTAGGGAAACTTTCAATATCATGTCTTCTGAAACATGTATGTACTCACAGTTTGTTATATGTTTCTTAATTTTACAGATAACTTCACCATTCAACATATTAATTTAATTTTCATTCAATTGTATGTTCTTTAGGTGATTTTGTATGTACTATTAACATGGAGTAAAATTTTCTTTTTTGTAATAATATGCTTATTTCTGGCTTTTTTAAAATTTTGTCCTAGTAATGAACCTGACTTTTGGGCACAGCATATGACCAAACAGCTACTCCGTGACTAAATTATTTATCTATTTAAAGTAATTTTAGCCTCTTCCATAATTATGCAGTGTGCCACAGTGGGTTAAGATCATTATTTTATGTTTACAAAACTTTTGACTACATAACTTCTGATTTATAGTAAAGTATCCACTTCTACTATAATAGCTATGTTTGTCACACGTGACTGTATCAGTGCACCATTGGTATGTTGTGGGAAAGATGAAAATGGCAATGACTGTAGCAACTCAAGTAGCAAAAAATATAAATAAGGTTATGGTGGCACCTATGGTAGGGTCTGACAGTGTGTGCATTTGACAAGAGTCTAGAGCCTATTGCTGATCCCATAATATGCCCATGTATTTAGTTTTGTCTACATTTACTTCTAGGCCTATTTTCTTGCTAGCCTGTAGGAGAGTTTCTGCATCCTTAGTTATGGTACCTACCCCATCAACTAAGCAAATAGACATTATCAGCATATTATGTTATGTTATATTATATTTTCTTAATTTGGGTCTTTCTGGCAACATTTAGTGCTAGTAGACCATTATATTTATGTTTTAATTTTACCATATTAAACACAATAGTGTTCATTATAATGTACTGTTCTTCTTTTAATTATGTGTATGAAAAAATTAATTGAAATGATAACAATCTGTTTAGTTGTAGATAAATATTGAGGGTGAATGTGTAGTGGGGGCCAAATTGGACAGTCTACACAGGGCAGTCAGTGTGTGGCAAGGTATATTTGCTGGTACTGACTGCTGTAGCGGAGGAACAGGCCACTGTCCAATAGGAGATGAGCATGTGAGCAAATGGTTGAGAAAAGGGGGTGACAGAACATTTTTTTATGAACATGTGGTAATGAAAGAGGTTCTGGTGACGATGTTACATGGAAATGGTTTCCAGCAATTATGTGAAGGAGTATAAGTGTTTCGTGGACCAGCCTTTTCAAG